GCTGGTCAGTTTCAGCAGTGGCTGACTCAGGACACCTGGGGTAGAGCAGCTGGGGTGCTGCCAGGTTGGTCCCCAGAGCACCGAGCTCTGCCTCGGGCTTCCTGGAGTCAGCCGCTGGTCAGTTTCAGCAGCGGCTGAATCGGGGACACCTGGGGTGCTGCCCGGTTGGTCCCACAGCCCCGAGGGGCAGCGCTAGGGGACCTACCCGGCTGCCCCTCCGGCTTCCCCGATTCAGCTACTGGTCAGTTTTAGCAGCGGCTGAATAGGGGAAGCTGGGGGCAGAGCAGCTCCAATGGTCCGGCTGCCTGGAGCACTTCCGGGTTCCTGATGGTGCCGGACCATTAGGAGTGCCGGACCATCAGATGCCGGACCGTCGGAGTTTTACTGTATAATGACTATTGATTTACTTACTTTTTTGAAAGTCTATATGATTGCTAGTCTATGGGAATAAAATTCAACTTCACATCCGGTGTCCATGTTTATAATTTATTTTCATAAATATCAGCAAATAATTAACTATAAACTATTTCATACAACAAGTAAGACATAAATTTCATATTATTTATTATTTTTAAATATTTTAAAGCATTCTAGGAATCTCTGCCATTTCAGTTGATGTTGATTTCATGTTTACTGCTGTCTTAGCGTGGCATCGGCATAGTGGAGGTTCGTCGTCTTCTGACATGGAACTGACAAAATAAAACTTTAAACAATAACTCCTATATATTATGTGCACCCTGACTTTGACCCCAAAAAACTCAGAAAAAAAGTGTGCATTATATTTGAGATTTTACAGTAGCTGCAGGAGCTCATAGATGACAGATTAGAGCTCTTGTTTAGTCATCCAGGGAAATGTAGTATCTATCTTTAAAACGAGGAGCCAGGGATCTATAGACAACTTATCCTGACTTGAATACTAGTGACGTTGTTAGAGTGTAAAACATTCAGTTTGCAGTAAGGATGTAAGCAACTAATCTACTAGTCCTGTGTTACTTAACATTATTATTAATGACCTGGATGTAGGAATAGAAAGCATACTGATTTCATTTGAAGATAATACAAAGCTAGGAGGAGGTGTGGGAGGGATTGCAAACACTTTGGAGATAAAGCTAAAATTCAAAAGGGACTTCAATTAGAGAACTGGGCTATAGACAACAAAATGAAATTTAAAAAAAGACAAATATAAGGTGCTAAGGGAAGAAAAACCAAATGCACAAATAGAAAATGGGAGGTAATTTGCTTGGCAGCAGTGCTGAGAAGGTTTTGAGAGTTGTGGATTACAACCTCAATATGAGTTTAATGTGGTTGTGTTGCAAATATAAATAAACAAATAAATAAAATTAGGGATTGCATTACTTAAGGTTTTATAAGTTTAACCGGTTAACCTGATAAGCTGATACTCATCAACTCCTATTAATGGTTAAACTCTGCTAGGAAGCCCATGGGGACTGGGAGCCTGTTCAACCCTGGAACTGATGGAATATTGATTGGTTATACGGTTTCTATTTTTAATAGGGATATTAGCATGTAAATGAATAGTCATGTAACCACATAAAATTTTAGCAGTTGCATGTCTATTTGATATCCCTGGAGGTGGGGCCAGCTGCTAGTGTGCTCCCTGCTCCACTGCCGAGGAGTCCCCTGTCACTCCATGCTGCTGCGCCTCTTATCAGAGGCAGCATCCTTGGGTAGCAGGCGTGAGCTGGTCTGTGAGAGGAACTGGCTTCCTGTGCAGACCAGCTTCTGCCTACCACCCCGTGCTGCTGCCTCTCATATAGAAGCAGCAGCATTGGGTGGTAGCAGCCCCTCTCCACAGAGGGTCCAAGCATCCCACAGATATAAGCTGTTCCGCAGCAACAGCTTCTGTCTGCATGGAGCTCAGACACCATTCACACCCTCCCGCCCCCCAAGTGGACAGGGCCTGCTGCCGCACAGCGGTCCCTGTTTGCGGTGAGCCCAGGTTGCTGCAGACAGAGTCTACTTTTACGGCAGCCTCTCCTGCCCAATGCTGCTGCCTCTGATAGGGCAGTATCGGTTGTACTGTGAAGATGGTGCTGGGAGGAACTGACTCTTAAGCCTGTCCCCCCTGCTGCCTCTCTAGGACGCAGCAAGGTGGAAGGGGGGGGGGAGGAGGGAGACAGACAGGTCTGCAGAGCCATCACATGTGGACAGCTTGCTTGAAAGCTGGTTCCCCGTGCATATCCTCTCCCACCTGCCCTCCTCACCCTCCCGATTGCTGCCTCTAGTATGATTTATTCTTGTTTTGATGCTAACAAACTCACTCTTCTGGATGCAGGTTGGACTTCCCTGGCTCAGCACCCTTGGGATCTAACTGGTCCCAGATAAGGGAGTTGTCCAGACCAGTGAAGGTCTGGGAGGGGCAATGCCAGCCTTCTTGCTGGGCTCCTCTACCCAGCTGCCTGGCTGGTGCTCGTAGCAGCAGCCTCCCACCAGCTTCCCTGCCCCCAGCTCTGGTGCCCCAGGATCCACTGACCGGCTCCGCTCTGAGCCTCCGCAACCTTTGCTGTAGGGGCTTTCTAGTCCTGCTACCTCCGTGGGATTCCTGGACCACAGTTTCAACTTGTGACATTTATTAAAGTAACATTCTTGTTTTTTTGTTTTTTTTAGTTGAATTGCAAAAAATGTCTCTCTATCCTTCTCTGGAAGATCTGAAAGTGGATAAAGTAATTCAGGTATGGTGAAATATATATACACTTCTTTCTGAGATGAGTTCTAATTAAGAGGAACCAATTAAATTAATAATTAGAATTTCATTTCTAGAACAAGTCGTATGTTAATTGTGTGGGTACTAGATTTTAATTTTGACTAAAATACTTTTTTTGGTACTTTGTCACCTATAAGAATGGATTGAATATCAATACTTTCTTAAATTAGGAGTGCTTGCTCTTACAAATATTTTAAAATGTAAATCTTATGTGATACTTATTGGAACCTTATGCTTTTTTAACCAAGTACTTATTTATTTGCTGGTATCTAGCAGTTAATAGCAACAGCTCTGTTTATACCAAAATTACAATTTAATGATGTAATTTTTATTGATAAACATGCATTTTTTTCTGCTAGGCCCAGACTGCCTTTTCTTCAAACCCTGCCAATCCAGCAATTTTGTCTGAAGCCTCTGGTCCCATCTCTCAAGATGGAAGTAAGTTTGTGTGCAGTACAAAACGTTGGGGTTTTTTTGGGTGGGAGGATGAGAAATCCTGAAATTTTGTAAGGAAAATCTCTTTTGGAAGGGAGCTTCAATTACAGTCAAACTATACTGTATATAAGAACAGAATAATTATTTTATTGTGAAATAAGAGTCAAACTGTGTCTTCTGGAAATGCAAATATTGCAGTGGAATGAGGATACATATTTTTTGTAAATGTAATTAGAAGGAGTTGTAGCTAATATCTTTTCTTTCCTTTCCCTCCCTGTGGATACTAGGGATGTAAGCGAGTAGTCAACTCCTGATAAATGTAGGCTTATTTGGTAGTCGAGTCGCTACTCGATTACTTGCTTACCTTCCGCCCCCCCTTACTGCCTCTGTAGCAAAAGCTGGGACTGAGCAGTCCTGTCTTGCACCAGATCCCAGAACATTGCGGCTCTGCTTTTTAAATGTAGTAAGTGCCACCGGCACCCCAGCAGACCTGCAGTGGTCTGGGATCCGGCATCAGCCAGGACTGTTCAGCCCCAACTCACACAGCTCCGGGAGCTAACACTATCAACTACTCAATTAGCTTATTAATCGCTAGTTAACATCCATAATGGATACCTCTTTGAAGTGCTTACAATTCTGAAGCTGGGGAGTTAGTGAAATGCCTCCTCTGTGTGCCTTTACCCTCTTGAAATCTATGGGGGATTTACAAGTTTGAGGACTGTCAGAATTATCTTTGCATATTTTCCCTCCCTGCACATAAAGGAGAATTTTGGAACAGCTAGTGGCAGGAATCCTATCTTCCACACTGGATAGTGGAATAGCGTGGCAATATGAAGCTTTTGCATGAAGTTTCTGGTGATGATTTAAGATCTCTGTCTTTGGAGAGGAGGCATGTGTTAGTCTGATACAAATTGGCTTATTACTTTTCATGATAACATATTTCTTCTTAGACTGTGACCATATGGATCCCTTCTAATGTTGCATGAACCTTATGCCCCTCATGTCAAAAATATTTAAATAGCAGTGTCCATTGAATTGAAATCACATTTGGTACCCAGGCCTGAAAATACCGGGTACCAAATGTGATCAGCATAGTAACCATCATCATTGACCAACATCCGCTTGGTCAGTGGAGACCTTAAATGTACTAGCTGATTCAACATTGAAGATATTTTATGCCCCAGCATAAGTGTGTTTACACTTAGCATTTGTGCATATTTCTGACCTCCCGAGTACTGAGGTTTCTTGAAGATTCACACTGCTCCTAGAGGGGTGTACAATAAACTGGAGGCTGTTCTCCGGGGTTAGTCCTGGGTGGGCCACCTGTGCTTTCTTTTGTGTGTGCCTGCGGGTACAGCTGCTTGCATTTCCCATTGGCTGCAAATTACCCGGCCAATCGGAGCTGGGGGAAGTAACGTGGACCACCACATTTCAAAGAAATCCAACCAAGCATGACAGTTTTGGAGAACTTATCAAAGGTAACTGTTAAACAGATCTTGTGAATTAATAATTT